GAGTTGTTGCGCGACATAACGCCTCGGGCGGGAAGCCATCCCCTGCTGAAACCCCTCGATTTCTTTCGGCGCAACAACTCAAGACCTCGCCTCCCACGGCCGGCTTCAAAGAGCACAGCAGGGCTGGGAGCGTCGATATTCCGGCTGAGATAGGTGAGGTAGCTNCAGGCGCACAATTCGCCGCCACCCCCCCTTGTTTTTTTTTATGCTACACGTCTGATAAAAAAAAAAAGTGCGCGACATAACGCCTCGGGCGGGAAGCCATCCCCTGCTGAAACCCCTCGATTTCTTTCGGCGCAACAACTCAAGACCTCGCCTCCCACGGCCGGCTTCAAAGAGCACAGCAGGGCTGGGAGCGTCGATATTCCGGCTGAGATAGGTGAGGTAGCTATCTGTCAACCGTGCAGCCTTTGGGGCTAGTCCGTAGGGGTAGATTTCCAGTTTTTTCTCAGGGCGTACCACCGCAGGACAACTCGGAAATCTCCGAGTAACGGTCGGATGCGCTGCAGTCTCTCTACGAGTCTATCGTGTTGCAACGAAATCTCGCCAACATGATTCACTCAGGTACTGTTGACATATTTTACAAAAGGTTTGGAGCGATTTGATCCGTCAGAAGATAAGCATGTTGAGATCAAAGTTCAATATTGTTGCGCTATGCTGGAAAGATTCGAAACGCAGGTCTGCATACATGCACCGCAGCACAACAGATTGGGTTGTTGAAAGTAAACACACACTACACATGTCAAACTGCTGTGGAAATATCAGAAAGCACGCGGCGGGATACGCTCACTAGCTGTCGGAGCAGGGTTCATGGTTTTTGGTGATCAAGAGAGGGTCGAAGCGACTTTTTTGAACCCCAGACCACATCTAGTCTAGAGAAGAAGTTGACGTTCGAAACGAACGCATCTTTGTGGATGGTCCGCGGTACTTCGATACTGTACACGAACTAGACCCCCCCCCCTGATTTGCATTATTTGGATTATTTTCGATACTCCTGAAACGTTTTGAGCAGTACCAATCCAGGTACGAATATAAAATTGATTTTATGGTTAAATATGGAGACACACGCACCTGACTTTAGGATGGGATGCCATGGATGACTGTCTGAGTGTCATGGTATCTATTATCTATACACTACGGATAACGCCGAGTTAACTACTTCCTTTTTGTGCGCATTACGATTTTAGGGTATCCTTGGCCTAGGACCTGTCCGTAGAGGGAGGGTCGAGCCGACGCGCGATGAGACGTAGTAGGAGTAGCGGGCAGC